AAGTACTCGGCCGCCTTTCACGCGTACGCCGCCTCTCATGCGTGCACCTTCGCACGCCTAACCCTCGGCATGTTAGGTCTCTCTCGCGCGCGCTACACGCGTGCCCTTTCGCGCGCGCGCCCAGCCCGCCGCCTTCCTTGTGTGCGTGCGCGTCCTGCACGCCAATGCCTCCGTGGTGTAGGACTTCCGCGTCTGCACCACAACCGCGCGCTTTCTTGCGCGCCCTGTTCCCCTCAACCCTCTCGCGCGCGTGCGTCCCGCTGCCCCGCACTCCTATGCCTGCGCGGTTTCAGATGCCGACCGCGTGACCATCACCCGCACGTCCAGCTCGCCCGCCGCTCGCTGCCCGCGCGTACCTCCCATCGTCCGTGACCCGATCGCCTACCGTGCACCCCCGTACACCCGTCGTTGCCCGCGTGCTGGCCACCCGTCCTCGCGCATCACCGCCCGATGCGCGCCTCTTGCCCGTTCGACCCTCGGTCACCCCCGACCATCCTTCGGCCTCGACAACTACTTCCGTATCATTCCCCTCCTCTTCAAGACGTTCCTTGTCCCCAAGGATGAGAAAGTTCAGCACGTCCACATCACTATCTTCTTCTTCAACGGGGAATTCACCTTGATCCTCAGTCCTCAACTTAATACGCTTCCCTGGTCGTCCAACTCCATCTTTCCTCGCTTATAGTCAGTTGTAATTGGTCCAAGCGTTTCCAACCACTGTACTTCGAGCACAATATCGGTTACCTTAAGTGGTAAGGCATAAAGATCAATTTCCAGCTCGTGATCCTGTGCCATTATCTGGACCTTTTTGAATAATTGACTTCCTTGCAGCTCATGTCCATTGGCCACCTTGACACCAAACCTCTTGACTTTTGTGGGTACTAACTTCAGTTTTTGGGCTATTCTTTCGTCGATGAAATTTAAGCTCGACCCACTGTCCACCAGAACCTCCAACAACATATCCCTTACCTCGGCCGTGAATCGGATCATCTTAGGACCACGCTTGTTGCACTTCACCATATGCAACCAAGACTCTTCCTGCGGCTTTTCTTCCTCTCCTCCCCCCTCAATTTCCAACACAAAAATTTCCTTACCCTTGCACTTGTGTCCTGGCGTAAATTTTTCGTTGCAAGTAAAGCACAAGCCTTTCTCCCTTCGCCTTTGTATCTCATCCTCCGTCAATCGTCGGTAGTTGCTGGTGGTGCGTGTACCATCACCGACTGTTTGCTCTACCTCGGCCCGTGGGGGCGTATCGTCCATCGCGACGCTTGCGCGCCGAACGTCCGCGCGCCCCTCGCTTGGTCTGGCCCTGTGCACTGCTGCAAGATGATCCTCGTGCAGTCGCGCTACTTCCATGGCAGCCCTTGTCGACCATGGCCTGTCCAATCGTACCTCCGCAGCCAACTCAGCCTTTAAGCCCCCTACAAACGCGCCTACTAGTGCCTTCTCGGGCCAATCCCAAACCCGGCTTGCTATCCTCTCAAATTCCTTTTGATAGTCGCGTAGACTACCGGTTTGGCGGATCCTTGTTAGCGCCTCATCATAATCAAAGTATTCGCTAGATCCAAACCTGGCAGTCAGCTCCTTCTCAAAATCTCGCCATCTAATTTGCTCGCCTTTATTTTTATAAACATGTGACACCCATTGCCACCATGTGTTGGCCTCCCCATCCAAGTAGTAGGCAGCAATTTGAACTCTTTCAGATTTGTGTACCTCATTGATCTCGAAGAATTGCACGGCACGACTTAACCATGCATTCGGATCTACTCCTTCGAACGTTGGTATCGTTATCTTCGGTTTCGCACGTACGTGCTCCTCTCGATGACGCCGATGGCCATGCGCCCTGCGATCGCCGTGGTGTCGGGTAGTGCGCGTTGCGCGCATTTCCCGTGACCGTTCGTCGTCGTCATCACGACTAGACGCCGAACTGCCCGTTCCCGCCATGGTTGATCTCGATGTGCGGCTCCTCCGCGTATGGTGGTTGACTCTCTCGAGCTGTCCCGCCAAGTCGTGTATCATCAGCTCCAACTTTGCCATGTTTTCATTGACCACGTGTTGTCCGTTGCCAAGGGACCTCACGCTTTCCTCAAGTGCATCGAATCTCTCACGATTCGTCATGACTCTTTTTTTTTAAGACTCTAAAAAAAATTGAAAAAATTATCGAAAAATTCGAACAAGAATTTCGAAAATTTTGACCCAAAAAGAAGAGAAATTCGGCCCCTTCAACAAAAAGGTAATAACCGAAAAAAATCTAACAAAGAACTAGATGACACTTTTTTTTTTTAAGACCAAAAATCGAAAATTTTTGGGTAAAAATTCGAAGAATTCGAACCCCCAAATCGACCAAAAAAGAAAAAGAAAGGGATAGAAAAAGTTCACGAACACCCAATCAATCACTCTCAATGAAAGCACCAATGATGAAGGATCGGGTGTTGCGTTCCCTCGACTTGTCTCGATCACGGCTTTGCCACGGCCTTGCTCTCGACGATAGGTGTGATCGACTCGGTTATTAGCCTAACTCTCTCACGATACTTGAGTTCACTCGGGTATTAGCCTCGCTACACTCTCGAAATAGATCGGGTCTTAGCCTCTCTAAATCGTTGAACTGGCTTGGGTCTTAGCCTCACCAATTCGATTGCATGATCGAATCTCACGACTCTAACACACGGTTTCGAACAAACGTTCTTTTCTATTTCCTCATTCTTGGACCTGAAAAACAATGAGGGAACATCCCTATTTATAGATCCTAATTACTACTAATTCTAATCTACCTAGGAAACATATTAAAGCAATAAAATATTAACTTCCTAAACATTCTAGATACTATTGTGTAAGAAGGAAACTAAATATATCAAAGTCCTAAATTGACTGGATCTTTATCTTGCTTGGCTTGCACTCCAAACAATTCACATCACATGCCCCAAGTACTCGGCCGCCTTTCACGCGTACGCCGCCTCTCATGCGCGTGCCTTCGCACGCTTAACTCTCGGCGTGTTAGGTCTCTCGCGCGCGCGCTACACGCGTTCCCTTTCGCGCGCGCGCCCAGCCCGCCGCCTTCCTTGTGTGCGTGCGCGTCCCGCACGCCTATGCCTCCGCGGTGTAGGACTTCCGCGTCTGCACCACAACCGCGCGCTTTCTTACGCGCCCTGTTCCCCTCAATCCTCTCGCGCGCGTGCGTCCCGCTGCCCCGCACTCCTATGCCTGCGCGGTTTCGGACGCCGACCGCGTGACCATCACCCGCACGCCCAGCTCGCCCGCCGCTCGCTGCCCGCGCGTACCTCCCATCGTCCGTGACCCGATCGCCTACCGTGCACCCCCGTACACCCGTCGTTGCCCGCGTGCTGGCCACCCGTCCTCGCGCATCACCGCCCGATGCGCGCCTCTTGCCCGTTCGACCCTCGGTCACCCCCGACCATCCTTCGGCCTCGACAACTACTTCCGTATAGACTGCGCGCGACGCACGACTAGCGTACGCACGCTACCCGCACGCCTGGTGCTGCTGCCGAATGCGCACTGCGCACGCTATGTGCGGGCAGGTGCTACGACCGGCAGCTTGTCGGCCGTTCGGCGACTTTTTCCAGCAACCATGACTTAGCTGGACATGAAATGACATTAAATGACTAAAAACACAATATTGCTCGGGACTTGCCACATAGAACATGAGATGGTTCGGAAAGGCCGATATGGCACCTCTGGGTATGAACATGACTTCTAATGGATGAAATGGCATGCTTTTTACATAATCTTCCTAACATGGACATGAAATAACTAAAAGAGGGTTAATATGAAATTACCCCTTCGATCGCACAATGAAATTCCTAGGGTTGGCGTGCTTGCTCGGTACTTGCGTGTGTTCTTCTTTCTCCATGGCTTCCTAGCTAAACTCACGGTTATATATCTTAATTCTTGACTAAGCTCTCGATATGCTAGATGGAATAATAATTGTCCCAAAACCCTCATTTATAATTGGCGTGAAATATAAATAAGCATGAAGTGGAAGTTGGATAGTTATTTTTCCTTCACGTTTTCTTTGATAACTGAAGAGAATTTTTATGAAATGTGATATAGGATATCATACCCACAAAGCTAAACCGGTCCGTTGACCGGTTGAGGAGGTCGTATCACGAGGAAGCCAAAGAAATCGAGTAGTCAATTAGTCGACCGAGCAAGGCTGTCGACAAAACTATCCTTCGACCAGATACGCGATCGAGCAACCTCTTCGACCTCGACAAGTCGATCACTTCGAGGACTTAACACCACGCTGTTCGGCCCAGTCATAGGCGCGTGAAGGGAGCCCCTGACAGAATTCCAGGAGAATATTTACCCCATGTGAGGGGGACACGTGTCGAAAAGGCAGTGGTGGATAGCGATAACCACCTCTGACAGCCTACCCCATGTGCAGGGGGACACGCGTCCAAAAAGGATTGGTGCAGGCGATAGTGGCGACGACCGCCTCTGACACACGCGTTTGGTGTGTACGGACGGGCAGTTAGGGCAGACAGCTCATCAAATCCGGGCAGCCCTAGGTCAGGTATCTCACCCCTATATAAAGGGGGTGAGCCTTTCTTCTTCAACACGATCATTCTACTACTTACTCTTGAGAATTGATTGAATACACACTGACTTAAGCTTCGGAGGCTCTTCACCGGAAAACCCCTCCGGTGTGAGAGTTCTTTGTAGGTGCACGACGTTCAACCGGCAAGAAGGAAGGCGATTACTCAAGTTCCAGCCGGTCGAGGAGTTTTGTGTTACCATTTGGCGCCGTCTGTGGGGACTTTCGTTGCAAAAGGTGTGCTTGAAGCTCAGCTATGGCGGACGGAATTCCCAAAAACTTACAGTCAACGTTCGATGATGCTTGGACGACGACCAGGCCGTTGGGGCAAGGTCCTCCTCCGGGTTTTTCAGGCCCATCGCAGACGCCGATTACCCCCGCACCGGTGCTCCAAGGTGTAGGAGCGGCAACAACGATCCCTGGAGGAAATACCGGCCCCAACCGTGCCCAGGAGGCTCGCGCAGCAGACGCGGCGGCGATGCCACCACCACCACCACAAAATTTGGCAGCAGTGCAACCAGGAGGGACAGGGGAACAACAGGGAGGAGCGGCGGTCCAAGGAGGAGCACCGCCGCGAGCAGCGGTTCAGGTCCCCGACCAACCGGTGTTGATGACCAGGCAGGAGATGCAACAAATGGTGGCGGAGGCAGCGGCCCAGGCGGTTCAACAAGTTACGAACAGTCTTTCTCGGGCTACGACTGCGCCGAATACTTTTGCAGGGTCACGACAAAACGCGCAGGAGGATGAGTCCAGTTATGGTGGAGGCGGGCCCACGCACGACCGGGAGATGGAGAGGATGGCAGAACAGCTGCGCCAATTGCAGGCTAAGGTGGATGGTCGAGCGGAGAGGCGGGCTCGAGGACATGCCTTCTCGGCGGACATACTGGCAGCACCTTTGCCAAATAATTACAAGGATACCAACTTGGTGTTCGATGGGACCTCTGATCCGTCGAGACACGTAAGAACGTTTGAAAATATGGCTGTATTGTATGGATATACTGATCCCGTTAGTTGCAGGGCTTTCTTATCGACCCTTAGGGGAGGGGCGCTCGACTGGTTCAAACAGCTCCCCCCAGGCTCGATAGTGGACTTTGGAGATTTTGCAGAAAAGTTGACAAATCAATATTCGAGCGCGGTGGCTCAGGAGAAGACGTACTTGACATTGATGGCGATGAGACAGGGCGAGAAAGAATCATTGTGCAAGTATGGTACTCGATATAATCAGGCTTGTTTGGAGATTCCATCGGCGGTCGACGAGGTCAAGGCGGGAGGACTGATAAGAAGTTTGCGGGCGGGGCCATGTAGAACTTCTTTGGCTAAGACCCCTGCCCACACGTATGATGAGGTATTGAGGAGGTGTAGAAAATATATCAATCTCGAGGAGACTGAGGCGGAGTTTGCCAAGCTGGAGGAATTAGGTCGAGGGGAGTCGAGGAAGGAGAAAACGGTCTCGCCCAAAAGGAAAGCCTCGCCCAGGAGGGAGGGGCGAGCTAGACAAGACCGAGGGCGAGAGGATAGGTGGAAGGACCGACCCATCTCTGGAGGAAAAAGATTCCATGATTACACCCCGTTGAACGCAAAGGTAGCCGAGGTTCTGATAGCTATGGGGAAAGGGATAGATGAGAAAGACGTGACATGGCCCAGGTCGAGGTTCGAGGGGCCCACCCAACCGAAGTCGAGGAGATATTGCCGCTTCCACAAAGACTATGTCCACACTACTGAGGATTGTCGGCACCTCAAGGATGAAATTGAGCGCCTCATTCGAGCAGGACACCTCAAGGAGTTTGTTTATCAGGACAAGGGGAGGAGGAAGGAGAAGAGAAGGTGTCGGGAGGACTCAGTAGAGAGGAGTGAGGAAGATGATGATGAGGATGCGCGAGGTGGTCGATATGGTCGAAAAAGAGATGAGGGAAAGAGGAGGCGAGGAAGTAGAGAGCGGGAGAGAGAAGGGGATGGAGGCCAGGTAAAGAGAGGCACGATATATATGATTTCAGGAGGACCGACGGATGGGGACTCGAACAATGCGAGGAAAGGTCACGTTCGAGCAATGAAGAGGAAGAGGGAGGAGGTGAATATCACGGCCCGAATGCCGGTGATAAGTTTTAAGGCGGAGGATGCCGAAGGAGTGGTCCTGCCACACAATGATGCCTTGGTGATAACCGCAGAGGTTGCAGGATTTGATGTGAAGAGGGTGTTCATTTATACCGGGAGTTCGGTAGATGTGATGTTCTACGACTGTTTTGTGCAGATCAACAGGGAGCTGAATATGGAGCTGAAACCGGTAACCACGGCGCTGTACGGTTTTAATGGAGGAGAGGTTATGCCGATGGGAGAAGTCAGCCTGCCCGTGGCATTGGGATCAGGAGAACTGAGAAAGGTGCGCATGGTGAGATTTGTGGTCGTAGGCGCTGAGTCATCCTATAACATCATCATGGGACGAACGAGCTTGAACGCATTCCAGGCAGTCGTATCCACGTACCACATGACGATCAAATATCCGGTGGGCGAAAACGTAGGGGAGATCGCCGGAGATCAGCTCACTTCGAGAAGTTGCTATCAAACAACAGTCAACAATAACAGACAATTGGCGAAAAGGCAGGCCGAGTCAAGAGGGGAAGAGGTTAATCGACCAGGGGGATCAAGGTCGAGGGAGGACAGACAAAAAGTGGAGAAGGGCAAGGAGAAGATGGATATTCAACCTGGGGAGGAAGTCGAGGAGGTTCAGATGATTGAGGGGTGTGAAAGGAGAAAGTTTAGGATAGGAAAGGACTTGGGAGAGCCTGTTCGGTCGAGGTTGATCCAGTTGGTGAGGGAGTTCGCGGATATTTTTGCCTATACGGCAGAGGAGCTGACGGGGATAAGTACGGAGGTGATTGAGCATCGGCTAAACATCGACCTCAGCGTGAGGCCGGTGAAGCAGAAGAGAAGGCACCATGGGGCGGAGATGGATAAGATTATCGAGCAAGAGGTCGAGAAGCTGTTGGGAGCACGACACATTAAGGAGATTCAGTTCCCCGAATGGCTCTCAAACACGGTGATGGTGTCGAAAGCGGAAAAGAAGTGGAGGATGTGCATTGATTTCCGTGATCTAAACAAAGCATGCCCGAAGGATCTATATCCGCTTCCTAGGATCGACCAGCTGGTCGACTCCACGGCAGGGTGCGAGCTACTTAGTTTGATGGACGCATCTCAGGGGTATCATCAGATCTCGCTGGCTCGTGAGGATTGGAAGAGGGTCAGCTTTGTGACAAGTCGCGGAACATACTGCTATGTGGTGATGCCTTTCGGTCTAAAGAATGCGGGGGCGACGTATCAGAGGTTAGTGGATAAAATTTTTAAGGAGAAGTTGGGGAGGAACATGGAGGTGTATGTGGATGATATGCTGGTGAAGAGCGAAGAGGAAATTGACCATGTGAACGACTTAAAAGAAACATTCATGACCCTCCGGAAGTATGGGATAAAGTTGAATCCCGCTAAGTGCTCGTTCGGGGTCAAATCTGGAAAATTCTTGGGTTATATGGTCACAAGGAGGGGGATCGACGTCAACCCGGAGAAAGTGAGGGCGGTAATCGAGATGTAGCCCCCCACGAAGGTGAAGGAAGTGCAGATCTTAACTGGCCGAATAGCGGGTCTGAGCCGTTTTATTTCCAAGGTGGCTGAAAAAAGCGGGCCCCTATTTAAGACACTCTGGAAGAGCTCGAAATTTCAATGGACAGAAGAAGCGCAGAAAGCATTCGAGGAGTTGAAGAGCATGTTGGTCGATATGCCGCTATTAGGAAAACCGGCGCAAGGGGAGGACTTGGTGTTATATGTATCCATCGGGGAGGCGGCAGTGAGCTCTGTGTTATTGCGGGAGGAAGGAGCAGCCAAGTTTCCTATTTACTATGTAAGTAAGGTAATGCAAGGGGCGGAAAAGAGGTACTCAGAGATCGAAAAGGGGGCCTTCGCAGTGGTGGTCACTATAAGGAAGCTGAGACCATATTTCTTGGAACATAGGGTGAAGGTCCGAACGAGCATGCCATCGGGAGAAACGCTGGGTCGACCTCTCGTGTCGGGGCGGTTAGTCAAATGGGCGGTCGAGTTAAGTGAATACACAATTATCTACGAGCCAAGGAGAGCGATTAAGGCCCAAGCGTTGGCTGACTTTATTCAAGAGGGGACGAAGGAAGGCAAGGAGCTCGAGGGGGTATGGCAAGTGTTTGCAGATGGATCGGTGTCGAGGGCTGGGGGTGGCCTAGGCATCGTGCTTATGTCGCCAAGAGGCGATAGCTTGGAGTTCAAAATTAAGGTGGCCTACCAAATATCAAACAATGAAGCGGAATACGAAGCGGTCATTAAAGGACTCAAACTGAACTTAAGTGGCGGAGCTCGAGTAGTGCAGATGCATTCAGACTCACAGTTGGTCGTGGGCCAATTCCAGGAGGGGTTCGAGGTCCGAGAGGAAAGGATGATGAAGTATGTGGAGGAGATAAAGAAGCTGCAGGGAGAGTTTGATTCCTTCGAATTAATCCAAATACCTCGAGGAGAAAATGGTCGAGCAGACCTGTTGGCTAAAATGGCACAAAGTCTGGTGGATTGCAAGAGCAGAAGTGTGACCTTGCTGCACATGGAGAAGAGTGTGGTTGAGAAGGAGGTGGTCGAGATAGAAGAGGTGGAGGATTGGAGGGCGCCGATAATGAAAGAATTAAAGGGGGGAACTGTTAAAGCAGTAAGAATATTCTTCGAGCATGGAGGGATTCTCTATAAAAGGTCGCACGCGGGTCCCCACTTGCGATGTGTAGGCGGAGAAGAGGGGCGATATGTGTTGAAGGAAATTCATGAGGGCTGTTGTAGTGACCACAGCAAGGCGGGTTCCTTGGTAGCCAAGGCCCTGAGAGCGGGATATTTCTGGCCGACGATGAGAGAAGATGCCAAGGAAATGGTGCGGAAGTGTTTGCAATGCCAGAAACACGGCCCACTTATTCACCAGCCGGCCGAAGCTATGACAACGATGAGTTCTCCCATCCCATTTGCCCAATGGGGAATCGACCTGGTCGGGCCCATGCCCCAAGGAACCGGACAAAGAAAGTTTTTAATTGTTGCGGTCGATTACTTCACAAAGTGGGTGGAGGCCGAGCCCCTGGCAAAGATCACGGAGGAGAAAGTGATACATTTCCTATATGATAACATATGTTGCAGGTTCGGAATTCCCAAGGTGTTGGTGTCGGACAACGGGACCCAGTTCAACGGTAAGCGGATCTGAGCATGGTGTGAGGACATGAAAATCGACCAACACTTCGCTTCGGTCGCGCACCCGCAGGCCAATGGGCAAGTTGAGGTAACCAATAGAATCATATTGAACGGACTGAAAACAAGACTGGAGAAGGCATCGGGAGCGTGGGTGGATGAGCTTACTTCGGTGCTATGGGCGTACAGAACAACACCCCGATCGACCACTGGGGAAACACCGTTTAGCATGGCATACGGCATGGAGGCCCTGTTACCGATAGAGGTCGAGGTTCAGTCCCAAAGATCGAGCGCGTATGATCGAGAACAGAATGAACACCTGATGCTAGCAGCGCTCGACACAATTGAAGAGCTTCGAGAAAGGGCAGCAATCAGGGTCGAGGCATACAAACAAAGGGTGCGAGCAGCACATGACAGAAAAGTGAAGACACGAAGATTCCAAGTGGGTGACTTAGTTTGGAAGAGAGTCGATGTGCTGAAACACGTCGGGAAATTAGAGCCAAACTGGGAAGGACCATACCTGGTCGAAAAGGTCCATGCTGGAGGAGCATACTCTTTAAAGGATGCTGAAGGAAGATCTCTAGCCAGGTCATGGAATGTGGCTAATTTA